TTTTTATTCTAAATTTACTTCGATTTTGACACTTGAGTTGTTTAACTACAACATACAGTAGGGATACATTTTATACTCAGCTGAGTTCGAAGTCTATGTTTAAATCATTTTGAGTTGGATTCTCTTTTAACATTTCATACTACTGTATTTCTAATAATTGGCTCTTAGCATGACGAAACAGTAATAGATTTTGAAATTGCACATATGGTGATCACATTAATTTCTCTTTCTTGTAAATTGAATTTTTCCACATCTGTATGTATTTAGTACAGTGGAACCAACGGATAACGCAGATCAATAATTTTTAATGTATCTACATTATTTTATAGTAAAGAGTACTAATATTTGTACAAAAATATCAATATATGTAAAAAAAAAAATATTAATAGACATAAGTTTTGAACGAAAAATAATTCACCTTCTACTAGATTTTTTTCAAATAGTCTTAGTGTAATTCCTTTTATATCATCATTTTTAGTTTTTGTTTGATGAACAATGCGATTCCTAATTTTATTTCAATTTTCATTCAGAAAAGCGTCTCAAAGACGTGGGAGAAAATACCCATAAAGAGGTCTTCAACCCGAGCAAAACCACACACAACACTGCAAGTACAAGTCGGCCACTAGTATCTACTCGCTTGCATCATTTACTACTAGCCTTTTTTATGTTGTATTATTTGTTACATATATATTTATTTTTGTTGTGTGACAAACAAGTGTTTTAGAATTCATTTGTCTCTTCACTGCTACTTTTTACTAATATCCTTTGAGGAACTTTTATTATTATATCAAACGAGCTCCGGGAGAGTTAATGCCACAAAAAAACTAAGTTGACAATTCAACCCCGCAACATACTGACGCGTCTACCTGAAGTCAGGAACCTCTTCAGTTGTTGAAAGTAGTTCTATGTAAACCTTATTTGTCCTTTAAGAAATTTTTTTATAACTTATACTATAATACAAACACACAAGACTTATTGTATGAAAATAATTTTTATTTTTTTTCATTCATTCATAAAAATTGTTAACAATTACATTATAACGTTTTATGAAAGAAATAAAACCATATCAGTGATAATACAGGCACACACATCTAAACAGGACTTGCTGTTACTCAAAAGTTACTGTGGTTGAGTTACGTTTAAGAAAGTCAAATTGCGAATATAGAAATGATTATCTGTTGATACGCATTCAGTCAAAAGGCAGATGCAAAGATAAATTTTATTAATTGAACAATCCTTGAACAGAATTTATTTTTAGATTTGCTGTAAAAAGTTACACAAAAATGCTTGTTTTTGTTAATATATTTTAAACGAAACCAAACGAAAACCCAGATAATATAGGGAAAAAAATCAACATACATGATTCAAGCAATTCTTTAAAAATGATAGCAAATTTTGTTTTGTATTATTGTGTATACCCTGTGAGACTGAGCACTTCACGTAAGTAATAATTCATTTAAAACGAAAATCCTGTTCGAATTTACATTGAGAATATTCTAAATTTATCCTAAGATTAGTCTGGATGTCAAATTATCTACAAATTTAAAACGATTGTTTCACAGCTTCTTAGGAAATCTATAACAAAATTTTACTCATCCATCTAGATTTGTTCTATTATCTTCATTTTTCTGTAAAAGGTTAAGGTATGATAAAAGACACCTAAATGACCCCTGCAATCGCAGAATAATAAAAGATTTCAATCTATAGAAAATTTTTATGTTTATTTCATTGATTAATCTAGAGACTAACTGCCTAGTTGCCTTTTTCTTGTCACTGGAACGTCATGAAAACTTCATACGAATATTCACACAACAATGATAATTTCACACCATTTTTTGGTAAATCTGATTTGGACAAAACAGTTATATGAGGTCAATGTTTGTATAAGTCATTTTGTAAGAAACATTTCTTTGGTTAGGCTGTTGCTCATATCTTAATAGAAGATTAAAAATTGTAAAATCTTGTAGTTTTCAAATATATGCAAGAATTTTGAATGTCTCAATCAAATATTCCTTACAAAATTCAGTCATATTACTCATATATACAAAACTGGTGTCCTGTAAACATCTAAAGGAAAACCAAATATTCTTTTAATTTTTTGTCGGATCAAACACATAGCATTATCCTACCCTCTCCTGTAGTACATTGAAATCATATTGTATTAAATGAAAAACATTTTAATTCATTTACATTTGTTTGTGATCTTATTGCAACCACACAGAACACAGCACTCCATCTTAAACCAATGTAAAAAGTCCAAATGTTTGTATCAATAATATAAGAGTAGGCAAAATAACGGTCCAAAAAGTGTAACAAACAAAAAAATAAAAATCTTAAATCATTTTATCCAGCCAAATCTTTTGTAAAACAAGTCTAAATACATAATAGTCTCATACTTTGACTTTAACAAAAGCAGCTTAAGAACCGTGTATAGTTTCTAAAAGATTTATATTCCTCAAGAATCAGACTGCGTTATGGTCTGCTCGCCAACTACAACCTATTAAAAAGCTTGTACCAATGAATAAATTGGACTGAGAGCATAATCATGTAGCGTATTAAACAGTTGTCTATTAATTCCAATTAAATATACACCAACACAGTTACAGCATTAGCTAACTGATTTGTATAAATTTGTAGTGTATCAGACGTGCAGTTACTTTAACCTCTTAAAAAAATATTCAAGTATGATACCTTCATCTGCAGATTTTAAATGGAGTGCTGCTTTCCAATTTAACATTATCAGAAATAACCATTCCTAAATTAATGCACTTCAGATAACATGAAATATGAAATATAATTCATTAAAACGGAATCAAACACACAAAACAATATAAAAATATCAGTTAACAATAACTTGTGGTTACATCAAAAGCAATAATACAAATGGCGAACTTGGAAATTAGGAATGTTCACGAAATGAAACAATACAAAAATACACAAACATAATAATTCTCGCATGTCTGTTAAAATAATTAAGAAATCGTGCCATACTTGATCAAGTAATAACTGAGAAAAACAAATAAAAATATGTGTGGTCAACTTCGGTAACCTTTTGATTTTACTCGGAAAATGTCGAAAGAGGATAAGAACTTAGTACTTAAATATTATAACTTTAAAGTGATGAGATATTCTTAAATATTACTGCAATTTTCCATAAGGAACGGTGCTTCAGACAGAGAGGTATCTATCTAAAGAAGTTGACTAAGATTGAAACACATTACTCTTAAAAATCAATAATACGTTTGTGTAAACTATTTTCTTAAAGACAGGCTACGCTTCAAAGCGACGCCGGGTATTTTAATTCTGCTTTTCATTAATGTTTTAACAATATTGGCAAAACTACCCTAAGCAAACGCATTACTAATTTAAAAAGTTACCTCCTTTAATCCGGGTCGTCCACCTTAAGCTAAACAAGGAGGAAGTTTAGCAAAAATGGTACAAAAAGAGAAAGAAAAGTTATTTGCAGGTTAAGTATTTCTAACATTTGCAAGAAAGACTTTGGTCGTTTACATGGATAACAGGTAAAATAAATGAATTTTTAGACGATGGTTTAACAGCAAATAAAAAATAATCAGAAACGAAATTTAATGATTGATGAGCACTCGAAAAGAGGGAATGTTTGGTACGGAAAACAAATATTGAAAACATGATAGATATGCTGTAGTATGTAATAGTTCGTATCAGTCACTTGCCATTATACTCAATGTCATATGACAACTTTAACCTTGGCTTCTCTCGATATTTCGCAGCGTTTGTGTATTTAAGATAATATGTTTGGAGTTAATTACAACGAGTCTATTTTCTATCATATTTTGCCATTTTATCAGTCTTTAGAAATTTCAAAAGTAAGCATATCCAATCAAAACTAGTCAAAACGTAGGTAAGTCAACCCTTCCATGAATATAAAGACTTATATTACCATATATGTATTACACACTTCTTAATATACGGCTTCAGAAAAAGGCTCAGAACCTCGTACAAATATATCTAATTGTATTATGATAAATATTTTGTTATTATTTTAAAAATCGTCAGGTCAAGTAATGCAATATTTTCGTCAAAAGTTTGGTATTTTGTGTAATTGATAAATAAAGTCGTACCTACAGAAATTTGCCAAAATCAAGATGTTAGTGTGCACTCATAAATTCAAATTCAATCTTAATTACTTAAAATTAGAGTAAAAGGTTACATTACAATGCATTTTGAATACAAGAATATCTTATTGCTTTCTCTTTTTAAGAAATCGGTATGCTACAAGTCTTTTTATAAATATTCCAAAAAAAATCTTGAAAAAATCATACTAAAGTGAAAAACCGTTATGTAAGTGTTAAAATATTAGGTTAATCCCCTTTTAGTGTTAATGATAATGTAATTAACAATCCAACAATATACAATGGAATATAAACGAGTTACAAAAAAACAGGCTCTAAAATGTTTGGAGTGAGTTCAACTTGAATTTACTTCTTGTCTAAATATTAGTTCTGTATATAGCTGTAATTGTTTTAACAATGACGTTTGGTAAAATATTAAACAATATCTGGCACAATAGCTGTGAAAACAATCTATAACTATTATTGAGGTCAATCCAGAAGTTTCTACTGCATCTGCAAAATCAACCAACTAACCCAGACTACCAAACTTTTTTTTCAAATATTTTTTTCGTCGGAGAACCATTCATTATAATAAATGGACATAGACTACATGAATCAGATACAAGTACAAAACTCTCATAGATTTTAAATATTGTACAGTTCAGACAATTCAGTATGCTGAGTACAGGTAAATAAAAACCACTAAACTTTCTGGACATAGACTGAACAGATTTTAATTGACTGCAAGCGAATTGTGGTAACAGTACTTAATTTACCGCAGTAGATAAATCTGAAAATTGACTTAGAGACTGAAAATGACATAAAAGTTAATTGTTCAATCTTTTAAGCTGTTCAAATCAAAATGATCGTTTCAGATCAAAATTGGTTAAATAGTGTATTTATTTTGTAAAAAAAAGAAAATGTAAATTTAAAAAAAAAGGATCTGTATAGAGTTGTGCTTGACATTTCACGATAACTGTAGTAATGAAAGGACGGCAATTACATTTCAAACTAGTTTTTGAGTACATATTGTATTACACTTTTTAAATAACTAAATATTAGACTGAAACTTCCATTCTGATCTTAAGTTAACTCATAATTTGAAATGATTTTGAAGATGTTTGTCTAGTGATTAAAACACCACGTTTTAGTCATTTTGATTGCAGTGAAGTTAGATTTGTGAAGTCACTTTTCTTCAATACAACATTTACTTTTATAACATGTAAATTATGGCTACTGGATAGTTTAAAAACAAGACAAACCTTAATGTTTTCCTAGTTAGAAAATGAACAGTACTGGATTTATCAAAGCAGAAATGTCTTAAAATTCAACAAAAGATGAAACATGATTTGAAAATGTTGTGTTCAGACTATTCATATTCGTTTAAATAAAAATAGGCAATAGTAGTATACCGAAGTTCAAATGATTAACGAGTATATTTTTAATCAAATGCAATAATTGTAATCTGTCCAAAAAATATTGTCACACTACAGATGCATGTAAACATTCATAAATTTGAATACACAGTTTGAGTATTGCCACATTTAGAATATTATATTATGTGCTGATTTAATAAGTGTTATTTGTATTTAGTCGTGATAAGTGCACACAATGATTAAAGAACTGAATAACAAAATAAAGGTGAAATACAACAATATCCCAAACAGAAATTCAACAATATCTACAACATTTGAGCATAATATACTCATACCAGTTCGACATATTATGTACATAATTTTGGCAACAGCTTTGTTGGGGAAAACTGTCTTTAAATAACGACAATGAATTCCTCATTGACAGCCCTGAAAGACTTTGTAGACTTAATAGTTTGCTTCTGTTATCATATATTCGAAACTTACAAGTGTTTCAATATCTAAACAGAAACCACGTCTTAGGCCTCCCGTGATGACGTAATTAGTTAGTAAAATTTCTGGTTAATATCAATACAGTTAGAAGACTATATGAAATATTATTCCATATATGAGAAGTTTCTTAAATATAAGTTTGTTTACTTAAAAAACAATGAAAATTTGAATCTATGACTATGAGATTGCTGACAAAGTATTTCCAAGTTTTATCTACATGTACTCCTTATATAAATAAAATGTTTCAGTACTAATTCATGTAAATATCCATTAAATTTGTTTCATTAAAATATGAATTAGTCATTTTTGTATATTCAACAATCGATTTGTAGCTTTTAATATCTAAGAGATACAATATTCACACATTGTACAACAGGAATTACGTCATTATGGTGTTTTAATGGCCCATTTTACTAGTATTGTATTTCAATTAGGTGTAAAGTAAACCCTTTTGCATTGATTCTTAAACATTATTTAATTGAATAGTGACTTAAATTGTTCTCCATTGCTACCATCCCTTTAAAATTATCCAGATACATAACAGAAAATTCGATTTGATCAATTCAATATATATAAGTAATAATGCGGATAGTAATCTTTACAATCCATTTGATTGAACTGTTAACAGAAATTACACAAGTCACCAACCAGTGTTTTACAATATCGTACGTCGGCAAATATTGTCACAACCATGTTCCACTATAATATGAAAGTATCATAATATTTCGGACATACAATTAAAGCAAATTTCATTGAAACCACAACCGGTCTTAGTTTGGGCTCTTTCTGGTTTCGACCACGTGACCAACGAATTCTTTAATGCCTTCAACTTTAATTTAGTACAGTAGGGTTTGTTAGTAACTTAAAGTATTGTTATGCGGCGATTAATACACAGGAATCACACCACGTCAAACTAGAACCTTTGGTGAATTTAGGAATCGATCATCCTATTAATTTTTGATCGGGTTTCTCATTCGAAAACGATAATGCATATGGACATGCAATACAATGGTCTGTCCATGAAGTCGTAAATACTAGCCTAGGGATAGCGCATTATCGGTTTTAAGTTCTACCATTGTTTTTTATTGTGTTACAACTGGCCAAGACTATTTGAAGGCGGCACTGACGATCCTGAATGTTGAGGTGACTTTCGTCTTCGTGGTGGTGACGTTCTTCTTAATTGATTAAATTCAGTCCTTCTTTGATCAGTTTGTTGTAAATCTCTCTCACGTAAACTCATTTCTCGTTCGTGTCTGAGTTCTTGTCGACGTGTTATTACTTTATCCGCAATAAGTGCTGGTAGCATATCAAGCTGATTCTGCAAGAAAAACATACATATCAATATTAATAAGATAGATATTCTTATGTGAATTTGAATAATTTTAAGAATACATGTAGTCAACATACTTCAGACAATTAATAAAATATGGAGTTTGCATTTTATGATGTGTAGTTTTCCTTTTTTAGAAGTTATTGTTCAACACTTATATTGTGTTTTCTATTAAATATTTAATTCAAAACAAATTCATATAGATATATATCTCATCAGAACGTAAACAATTCTAAGTGTGCACTTGCAATCTATTCATTAATATTTGTGTATTATGATATTATCTATTAACGATTTTGTGATAATTCGAGTTTACAATGTATCTGTTTTGTGATGACAATCTAAATGGCACAGTGAACAAACAATTTACCTCCAATACAAGTAAACCTTCAAATACAAAATCCTGCCAGACAAAAAAAAACCAAACGTTTTAAAAATGAATGATACAAATCAATCGAATATTAAAACTTTTTCAATCGCAGTGATTTAGAAATCTCTATATACTAGAAGAGCTTTATAATAATAATAATAATAATAAAACACTTGAGTTTACCCAAAGTTCCAGCGGTGTCCAAATTGCTTCCTCGCAATGTTTTATGGATTGTTTGCTATTTCGTAGTTTTCTTTGGAAATGGCAACGATTGATGATTTAAAATAGCTCCATTGGTATCGTCTAATATATTTTATAACATAATTGATTTTAAAATGCTGTTTTTATCTATGATTCCATTGATACTTCGTTTTAAAGATTTAATTCAAATTCCAAAATCATTTTTTTAAATTGCATGTAGTAATGACAAACTAGTATAAACTCTCAAAATAAAATTTAGGTATTGTTAGAGTCATATGATAAGCCTCAAACACTTAACACTAAAAGATTGAGATGTTTTGGTATAATTTGTTATAAATTGATGACTAATTCTCACTGCATATGGCATTGATAAACAATGATAATAATTTCCAAGAATACGACAACAATTTTTTTTTTCTTGAATTGCAATTTTAATTAAACTTTTTGCCTTTAAGTAATGTAATGTTTACACAGGTTTGTTCATTTTGAAATGAAATGTCACTTTAATTTAAACGCAAACTGAAATGTCTGAACATTAAAAGATTTAAGTCTTAAATTTTATCCCTAAGAGTGTTTACAACCATTGGGTCGATGCCACTGTTAAGTGAACGTTTCAAACCCTAGTGCATCACAAAGACTCCTGTGTTGACATAAAATATTATTAATATGGGCATTTGCATTAAACTTAATGTTTATAAAATGTTATAAATCATTTGAAAACATTGTTTTTCTATCCCAGGCATAGATTGCCTTCGCCAGATGTGACACAATTTTTTGTATGGTTTGTCAGTGATTTTTAACTTCGTTAATGATTTTATATTCCAATTGTTCAAGTTCGAGTGCTACAGATGGGTTAGGCATAGAAATACGCGTATGGCATAATAAATTTTCTTTTAGGTAACATGCACTAAATCGTGATCTGTTTAGTCAATTTCCAGGCTACTCCCCCAAAACAGTTTGGTTAAATACAGGGAAACGACACCTGTGAGGTTTTATTTCATTTTTGTACATATAAGCACTCTGAAAATAGACGCATAACAGATCTTAATTGACCACAATGAAGTTTAGTGATGATAATACCGCAAAGGAAATGCATGAAACTTCACTATTTGGCTAAATACGACTCAATTATTTAAAGTTTAGTCTTTTTACACAAGTAAATATAGCAATTTCCGTTAGAACGTAAGTGTTCATTTATTTAAGAATGACATGATATTAAATTAAATTAAACAGATACTACTTGATAGGAAAATTGACAATTTATAATGTGTTATTGACAGTCTTTTTTTTAAACCTAGCTCTTCGTCTTTCCATCTTCATCAATGGGTTAATAAAAAGCATACAGAAGAATGCACCATTAAAATTTCAGAAAATTCAATTAAATCAAAATTATAAGAATAAGAGAAGACAAACCCACAAGTATAAATTAAATAATACAGGTGTTCTCAATTAAAAAAAAGTATCAGAAATAAAATGTTCACTGTTACTGAAAGCAAGCTCACATGACTTAATCTGATGATATTGAAATAAGGCCTTCCTAAATTCAATGTCGACCGCTATACTCGATTCAACAAAGTTACATCAGCAAAAACAGTTTAAAACAAACCGATTTCGTACAATGCTAAAATAAATGTACAGAAGTACAATCGACAAAAAAAAAGATTAAATATTTAGTATTGTTTAACTTCCAAATCAGCAAATCGATAATTATCGACCCATATACACGTGTGTTCCTTCAAACCATTATGATTTAACAACAATAGTAAAATTATAACTTTTAACAGTTAGTTTGTTAAGCCCAACGGAAGATTTGAAAAACACTTCACCTCGTATATGATTAATGCTTGCTTTATTAATAACATTGCAATAATTAAAACTTGTTTTGAATTACAATTGTATCTCTTGTTACTAAATTTCCGAGAGTGAAATCCCAAAAAGATAAATTTGTTAGTCCCCATTAGAATGCAAATCAATTTACGGTCCTCTCTAGCAAAAAAAACCGGCTGGCTTCAATCGTTTCTTTTCGTGCCCAAAAGTGCTTTTTTGTAAATTTGATCTTACCTAATTATGATTACAAAAGACATATTGTATTTAGCGGTATTTTTAACATTGCCATATAAGCGGGAGGTTTGGCTAGCAATAAAACCAGGTTCAACCCACATTTTTCTTTAAATGTCCTGTACCAAGTTAGGAATATGGCAGTTGTTATCAAATAGTCCGTTTCTATGTATGTTGGCGTTTGTTTTTGTTGCAGTTCAGTGTTTCTGTTGTTGAATTGTTTTTTTCTCTTATAGTTGATGTGTTTCCCTCGGTTTTGGTTTGTGACCCGGATTTGTTTTCGCTGAATCGATTTATGACTATTGAACAGCGGTATACTATTGTTGCCTTTATTTACAGTGACAACTAGATTGGTCAAAAGACTATTTTATTCAAAAGGATAGTTTCAGTTAAAATTGTTCAAGTTTTGCATAAATAGTATAAAAACTAAACTTTGAATGGACACAAAGTGAACATCAATGGAACCCAGTTACGAAAATTTCCAAATAATATTCAACGCTTCTGAAATATTTAATACCGCTATTAGCATAAGCTAAGTTATAACATAGTGTAAAACATCAATAAACAAACGAAACAGAATAGAATCTTTATATCAAAGAAGAGCAAACCTGTAGTTCTAAAAGCTTATCTTCTATTTTCACGACTCTTTTTTCAACAGAGAGGCCATTTGTCTGCATGTCAGCCACCATAGCTTGAATATGCGACTGTGTCTATAAGAAAAGAAAAAAGTTTGAATATATTATGGAATCTCCCATTTAATAATTCAATCAATACAATATTGCTCAAAAGATACAAGACATTTTAATTCTTATGAATTATTTCAGAATATAAAGATTTAATATCTTAATGAATACTTTTAACAATCTATTGTAAATAATAAAATACTTAAATTGAAAATAATATTTGCATATCAAGAGTTTTTATTTTTTGTTAGGAATAGAAATATCAACCCTATATATACATCTATAGAGGATGGGACACAACGCATTAATACAATCAGTATTTTATCTATTAGATATGACCAGATTAGATAAGACTTTGATATATTTTATACTTTTTTCTGTGTTTCAGTCTTCTTTTATGATATCAAATACTTATTGTTTTGGACAAATTTTGATTTGTGTCATCAGGCTTGACATATTGGATATATTTTGTCCTAATATGAAAATGTTTGATAGTGTGTAACAAATTCAAGGTCATAAAGTTATCTTTATAAATAAATATAATATTGCTCTTTCTATAACTTTTACTAAATTCTCGTGTAATATTGTCGAGTATATATATATATATATATATATGTCTGTTCATTGTGTATATAATGTTTTTCTTTTCATATAAAGATGATTTCAAGCATGGGTATATTTCTAATTGAAATTGTGATTGTTTTTTGTGTGCATTGGAACACTTCTAGAAAACTTGCATATTAAGGAAGACTGTTAGAAGGTAGAAGTCGAGATAGGTACATGTAGCATAGTGAAGCGTGAGATATTTTGGGGGAGGGGGTCATGCTGACTATTAGATTTAAGTGTCCCGGACAGATGCGGTATTGCACATACCTCTACCTTTAAGTTGAGACGTACATTCAATAATTATATCAGACAATTAATGTGAAATGCGATCAGCTGTTAATTTTGGTTCAAAATATAATTTTGACCTGCATATTTCTTATATTTTCAAAACTTTATTAATTATTGTAATATCTTTGATACATATTTTCGTGAAATAGAAAGTGTTTAATTACCCTTTGTTAGACAAAATACCACTTATCTATCATTATGTAAGTGATTTACTGTACCCGGTTATTATTATCTATAAGAGAATGATTTAAAAAAAATGTTCTGAATTCTAAAGAATATAAACAGCAAGCAAATCGTTCGATCCAAAATTTGGTTAATTCAAGAAGCCCCTGTCCCCTTGTGAATTCTCTTGATCATTTTTACTCAGAAAATATTTAAATATTATTGAATATTAATAATGTATAAGATGAAAAAGAAAAATCACTTAAACACGTTTTTCCAAGAAAGAGTCAAAAACAGTGCCCAAAATACCATAGGAAAGATAGTCAATAATGTTGCTCATCAAACTTGAAGAGAAAGACAATATAGCCATGTATCATTACAAAAAGTATATGATTAAATCAATCCACATTCAACAGTGGGAACTCGTGTGTACAAGAAGTATTAATAAGTATTTACTCCAATTGTGGCACCCATTAGGTTACTTGTAGTAACTTCGGGCTGAGAAGGGACGAGTTCAACCTAATCAGAAGTTTCCTTCATGTTATAAAAGTTTTGTGACCTTGTATCTTTGATGAAATTTATGCACGGATCGTATCAACTGTAACCTAAATATTTTAAATGCAAGTGGTGCTGAATGATTGATCGATTAACTGTCCAATGCTAAACGTGGAATGTCAAATAGTTGTGCTTGAATTGTGCTTAACATTTCGTACTCTAATCTTTTTTACCGTTCTTTTTCTGGTTTGTTTTTTCTCTACATGTTAAACGTTACAAATATGGGTTTTTAACTGATTTATAGAAATTGGTTTTCAATATTGATAAACTGTCTAGACGTAGATATGTCTCGATTGTATGCAATTTTGCTATAAAATGTAAATGTGGAAATTAAAATGGCTGGATTTTACCATTTAAACTATGCAAAACATTCAAAGTCAATGAAACATGACTGAAGGCCAAATATTATTCATGGAAATCACTGCATACCAATGATCATTGACTTATAATAGGTGGTTCCACTAAAACCGACTTGATCAAATACTTGTACATGTAAACTATGCAAAAATCTATGAAAGTCAATATAAACAAGACTGAAAACATCGGAACAAATAATATTCATGGACATAAACTGTGCCATGATAATGTAACTGCATCCCAAGTATCATTGACTTACCATTAGGTATTCTCCTTTCACTGAGCTAATTACAAACTTTATCATATAAACTATGCCAAAGTTTCAAAGTCAATTGACCCGGACTGAGTGGGCGGGGCAAAATAATTTCCTTGAAAATGAGATGTATCGATGATAATACAACTGCATACTATATATCATTGACTAACCATTAGTGGTTCCGCTTAAACTGACCTAATCAAACACATTGTTAAAGCCAACACCACCGAAAACAGCACATATGAGTCTCGCCTCAGCTGACAAAACACAAATTGGTATAAACTATCTTATGTTTTCACCTGGTCTTAAATAAGGCATTTCTATTGTAAATATGTGTGTTAATATTTCAATTATGTAAGCTCTCTTATTAAATGTGGTTAATGCTAAGAAACACATTTGTTTCTTCTCCAGCTAAAATGCTCCTACAACTTAATATATAGAACATAATATATTCATAAATAAGTTTTGTTTAGCAATAATATATACAAACAAAATTTACTAGTACAACGTTTTCTAATAAACACTACTTTAAATGAACTAGAATAATTTTATGTTTTGCAGCCTGTATCAATTCTTTGTTTATATTTTATATAACCTTTTCAGTGGCCTCTGGGTTTCGTTTAATCTTTAATTGACATGCTTCTACTTTTACTTTGAATTAGCCGCTAAATTGAATAATCGAAATATAACGGGCTTGAATTATTAAAGATTGATCGAAAGTAAATCTCCATTGAACTAATAAATAAATAAAAAGTGAAATGGATTTTAATCGTTTAGTCATTATTTCGAAGAATTGGTTTCTAATATGAAATTTGTTTCTGTATGTGTTTATTGCCAAATCAAAGCTTAGTAGACTCATTTCGTTCGTAATCCTCCATGTTGCCAGTGAAACACGTTTACAAAATATTCCGTTTGAAATTGATACTAAGAAGTCTCCTTGTAAAAAAATATGTATTTGGTGAAATGAGATTTACAAACTTTGACGCTATGCACGATGTATAACCTTAGATATCTCTTAACAATAATCTGAAACTGGTCATAGTAAGAAAATTGCCAAAAGGATAACAATACTATATCAAGTGAACCTGCTCGCAACAATACTCAAAAACTGCAACACATGTATTGTAACAATCAAAGGACACGGATTGCATAGTTGTGTATATCAATCCAATGTTAACATCTATATCAATATTTATCAATTATGGACTTTTGAGGAGGTCAATACGTTATATATGGACCTGTTCAGATTATATTGACCGAGGACGAAGTCCGAGTGTCAATAAAATATAACATGTCCATATTTAAAGTCTTGATTGAGTGAAAGTCCTTAATTTATATATTACATATGTAAATAATGTATCAGGAAAATGGCGTTCAATGTTCTTTCTGTGTATTATTAAATTGTATTTTGCAAGAATTTTAACATGTTATTGAAAATATCAATATTCTTTGACAACTTCATAGCTTGTTGCGTAAATTTTCTTGTATTCTTAGCGTCTGCGTTTAACCTAAAAATTCTTGTGATAAACTTGCAAATTTTCTTTTCATCTGCTGCGGCGCTTCCTCCATGGTTGTTATGTGTGACGTCATGACGTCATTAATCTAAATTTAACTATATTTTTCATATTGACCGTCAATATACATATAAATAGAAACATAGCGTCAATATACTCAAAAATAGAAACAAGGATTCGGATACATAAAATAACCTTTCAAACACGTGATCGTAATGTCCAATGAAAACAGGAAAATGCTACACCATATGTAATATTTGCAATTATGTGGTCAGTTTTTACTTACCTTTACATCTTAAATCATAACTTGATATCCACCTTAAGGTTTATAAAAGTGTATATAATAAATCTAAGAACTATGCACAATTGCATCTTGGAATTCTACAAGGAGTAATGTAACTTCAGGAAAGTGTGGTATTAAGATCATATGAACTAGTAAGCTACGGGAACAGTGATTGGTGCTGAGGTAGGAAGTTAAAACTTTCTACATATTGTTTTTTTATAATTACACGCCTAAACAAATAAAAATAACAACGAATGCATTTCATGAAAGCACAACCATGCAAAGAAAAGAAACTGCATGCGTTCTAAAGATGTCTATATTGCCATGCCTGAGATTATACAGGTGTAGCTATTTGACAGAGCTGTTATTAAACGTTTCAAACCTGACGAAATTCAACATGAGAAGTTGAAATGTAAACTTTGTGTCTTTGGGAAAATCCGTCAAAGCCTATCTTCTACATTGAAAAAAGGAAAGGAAGATCGATGGTCAGTTATTAACCGAATTCATAAAACAGATATTGTAATGCAAACATGCATTTTACAACAGGCTTTCAGGAGTTCATCGCAAATTTTAAACACATTGAAATGAACATCTACCGGAAGTTACAAAATATTTTCAAAAAAACCATCGAAGTCCTTTCCTTTTAACCATTAACCGTTTTTTTGTCTGATTTCAACAGAAGGAACACAGTTACTCACTGCACCAAAAAGGAAAAGGGGGAAGGAAAACGGAACTTATTTAACATTGCTGATGTTCTTGAAAACTTTATTTTCGAAAAACAAAGTTCTATCAAATGCTTAATGATTTTGACGTTTTCAAAAGAAGCTGTTAAGCAAATAAGTATTTACACACAACGGACAACGACAAAAATTTAAAGGTAAAGACGGGAGGGTGAAGGTATCTATGTACATTATAAACAACAAAAACTGTCTATTGATAAAGTATTTAACTGTTAAAAGGAAAGGCTCCGGTTGTCATAAAACTAACTTTAAGGTGTAATGTGCAAAATTGTGTTTACTTATTAATGCAAAAGTAACATGTGTACATAAATGTGTGCATGACACTAAATATTGAAAGGTTTTCAGGAACTAAACCAAATCATGATGAACACTTTAAGTATTTTTTCCTTGAACAATACGTGCCATTCTAATGTCAAATACAAGAGATTCCATATACTGGACGTGTGAACTATAATAACCTGCTATGTTATAAACAGCGTACCCAATTCAGAAATATATATTCATGATAATAGCAATGCAAATATGATTTTCAGCATTTCTTGTGTTGCCCTTATCGCAAAAATTGAATGAAAAATTCAGTTCTTGACAAAAACTTATAAATAAATATATATAATTTCAAATCTGTAACTGGTTAGTGACTACCTATACTATCAGCCATTTTGCTATCCAAGCTGTTTTATTTTCGATTCAATAATAAAATCAATACTCTAGAAAATAAAAATGCAAAATTTAATTTTTCAGCCAAACCATTTTTACCTTTGCCATATCAGCTACTGTATTCTGTTGCTCTGTTAACTTTCGTTGGTCCATTTTTACATCTCGCAGACTGAAAAATATACAAATAAAGAACATATTTGTTTTTTAGAAATTGTACTTACATAAGAAACACGACGCGTACCACATGTGGAGCAGAATCGGCTTACCCTTCAGGAGCAACTGAGATCACTCCCGGTTTTTTTGGTGATATGAGTGTTGCTCAGTCTTAATTTTTCAGTTTTTTTTTCTGGATTTTATAGACTGTTGTGTGTGTCGTTTCGGTTTTTTTCAATGGCGTTGTCAGTTTGTCTTCGACTTATTGGTTTGAATATTCCTTTAGTTTCTTCGACCTTTCTTTTAGAAATTAGAAGCTAATTCACACATCAACATGATTCAGTCGTTCACTGATACAGTTCTACATAATCTATCAAAACATGACAATATGTTTTGCTCCATTGTGGAAACTTTGTTTCTTATTATCAAGTAAAAATACTTATATTAGCAACACGACACATGTTGAGCCGGATGTGCTTGTCCTTCCTTAGCACCTGATATAACCGCCATTGAAATTCACAAACATGACGAAAACCGATGATTGATTCCTTTCTTTCCAAATTAATTTTTGTCTTTGTGCAGAAAGTGTGCGGTGAAAACTTTCTGCCCTATCCTCTTATCTACATTGTTCGCGATAAATGGTGGGAAAAGTCGAGTTTGATTCTTTTGCACACACTAAATGGCATTAAGGATGTTCCCTACTCTTGTTTTTGACTTTTTGTCAGATATTTGGAATTCTGTAGTTTTATCCATGAAGTGCCTTCAAATTGTTTGGCCGCTAACCCCTACTTTTTCTTTTCATTATTTGATTGCATATTGTTTATAACGCCATTTTTGAAAATCTTGAAAAAAACCTTGTTACTTTTATTGATAGTATTTGTTAGAAAAAAGGTGCAAATGTTAAATGTAAGAAAATCATTTCCCGCCAAATTTTTAATTGTTTGTATCTCAAAAACAGGTACACTGACCTGTAATTTTTTTCTGCTTTTTATGTCCCGTTATCTATATACTATCAGTTGATAACAGTCTTTAAAAAAGCTTGTTATTTTGAAACAGAGTAGCGAACATCCTTAAGTCACTTATTTGTTCATTCAGTTTGTTCTGTTTTTTCTGTTTAGTGATTTGCAACCAAACCAGTAGATTATACAAACACTTTCCGAAATGTGTTTATTATATATATATATTATATAGTATATAAAATTTAATACATATCTACACTTAAATGTCATAAAAACTTACTTATGAATCGCTTGCAGAAATTTTCTTTGATGCGATCTAACTCTGCTTGTATTTATTTTCTTCATTAGTTTTGTATGTTTGTATATCAGCCATGTTTCTCGTAAAACGTTGGCAGCTGAATTTTTCAACTATTTGAATAAAAAAAGACAATTATATAATACTTCATACATTTGTTTATGATGTTGATAAGTTGTCAATCAAATTTCTTAATATATGGTCCTGTAACTTACACTATCCTTAATGCTTAATAACACGAACCTTAAAAAATAAATGTATACTACATTATAACTTTGCGCCTGAAAACAATGAAACAAGTTTAAAAATATTAATTCTTTTTTAAAATATGTTTGTGTTTCATGTAAATGAGCCAATATATATATATAAACCTGGAAAGCATCAGTTGTAACAATCATTTTTTTTAATATATCTTATTAAATTATCCCGTATATCCTTTTTTCTAGGCATTTTTGAGTGACTTGCATCAGTTATGATCAAAATGTATAATCTTTCGCTACAAATTAGTCTAAAAATCCCTTCTCCATATCCATTTGAACTACAGTAAACATGAAATTCATTTTCTGTTTAGTCACATATAGGTTTTATTTATAGGATCAGGTTTCATCGTGAAAGTCCCCAAAATGGGGTTTTTTTTTTGTCAACTTTTGTCCGGCAGTAGGACCATAATGGGAGGATACCGTTTGACTGTACGGGATGTAAATTTTCAGCTTCGACCAATTTAAAGGAGGACTTTAGATCAGATTCTTCGTGTGAGGAGGATACCATGTTCTTTATGTGCTTATTTATCCTTGCAAAAGATCTTTAGGCGTTCTGAAAGTGATCTGTAGAAGGTTTTAAACTTTAATTCTTAAATGAAATGTGCCTACGTGATATATTGTGCGTTGCCTATTATAAAATATAAAAAAATGTATGTTGTCTCTTCAAATATGGTAAAATCTTATCTATTGATTAAATCAGAAATTTTAACTCAGCTTAAAGTTTGCCAAACAATTACAAATATTACTGAAATATATATCTGAAAAACAAATAGCGTTTAAAAGACTATAATAATTAACATGCATTGTGCAAATTTAAAATAAGGAGAAAGACAAATTGTACTTAATGACACATTTTAGTTGTGAATTTCAGTTGTTATTTAATAGTTCGTTTCTATGAATGTTGCATTGTTGTTTGTTTTTTGTTGCACTTCTGTGTTTTCCTCTTATAGTTGATGTGTTTCCCTCGGTTTTAGTTTGTAACCCGGATTTGTTTTCTCTCAATCGATTTATGACTTTTGAACAGCGGTATACTACTGTTGCCTTTATTCATGACATTAAACGGTACCAATTAAACCGAACCATATGCGCATGTCGATAATAAATGTCTCTTCAGTGATGCAAAAGGCCAAAATAATTTTAATCAAAAACCTAATACAAATTTTGAAAAGCAAATATTACCAAAAAGAATCAAAAAGCGAAGCCGAGACTGACAAGGAACAAAAAGTTGAGAAAGATACATTTCTTAATTTCAAATGATTTTCCAACTTTCAAAACAGAAAATGTCAATAACATGATATCAGTATTTTCATGCCAGTACCGATGTACTGAGTAACTAGCCTGGTGATACCAACAGGGACTAGTAGTCCACCAGCTGAAGTATCGACCAAGTGGTAGCACTAACGTTAAAAGTATTCTTAGATGAATTTGGTTGTTTTGTATATCAATAGTTTAAAGCAAGTTGCAAATCATCAAATATTTGCAAATAAACCCGAATAATTTCTCTTTGCAATTTACTCAGTCAAAATTGTAATTATATTATTTGGTTTGTTTTGTATAGGTCCGTTTTTGCTTTGCTGTATGCTTATTAATTATTGTTCATTTTACAATTTATTATGCTGAAAATTCATCTTTGAAAAAACATTCAAATTCAACATATGTTACGTAGATATGCGCAATCATTCTGTGTAAAGTTTCAGAAATCTATCTTCTTAGGAGTTGATTAAACAAAAGTGGTACTTTCTTTTGTAAATTTGGCTTCCCTAAAAAGATATAGTATCAATTATACCTAACGAGGTACATTCCAAAATCATGTATCAATCTTACTGAAATCGATATCATACGTTCAATACTAATTCGCTCAATCAGTTTTGTGCATTTGCATCGATGGCCCTTACAAAAATGTTCTACGTAAAAAACAAATATTGATACATGCAAATATTCGAAAATAGAAAATACACAACCTCCGTAGGAAATGCTTTTTTGGCCTGTGGTCTGAAAAGAGTTTAATGTGTTTTTGATATTAGTAGTCACACAGTGAAATGATCATGATTTAAATCTGTATAAAGAATAAAAAATTCTCTTTTGGATTGAGAAACTATAAGCCTTCCCTCTTTGAATGTGATGTTTTATAAAGGACAATCGAAATTCATAAGCCGAACAGAAACCGACAATACCATAGCAAATAAAACGAAAAAATACAAACAGCAGTCTTCAAACTACTACAAGAAAACTAAAGACTGAACCCCGCCAATAAAAACGGATTGATCTTATATGACCCAAAAGGGTAAGCAGATCATGCTCCATGTGTCCCTCGTGGTAGGTACATATGCAGTGTTGTCAAAACGGAGGAAACGAGGATGGGATTGTGGCTCAGACAACTGAGAAATATCCGTGGTAATCTGTGATAGAGATATTCCAACCAAAACACGATGGCGTCCATAAACCATTCGAAGTAATGACATAAATTTACTACTTTGAATCCTTAGTTCAATAGCTTCCTGTAAGCAGCAACATTCTATCCATGAAATCATGATAGGAAAAATCCAACTAGCACATTAACTTTGGTCTTAAATGGTCATTTTAATCTTAACAACATACGAAAAGTCTAAAACTAGTTTTGTGAAAAGTTCAAGTTATTTTTCAGTTTGATATTGTCTTGTTGAAAATTCATTACTGTTCAGAATTTTATTTCCTTGCAGTCGATCCAGTACTGTTCAGTTCCGTTTCAGACAATTCAGTATGCTGTTGCTATGTTCGGGTAAATAACCACGATTGAAAAGCCCGAACAAAGACGAAACAGATCATGATTTATTGTTCAATCGTTTAGCTTTTTAGACCAAAATGATCGTTTCAGTTCAAAATTGGTTTACTAGTTTCAAGCTCTGAAAAATTAAAACAGACTAATGCTCTTCTGTTCTTTTTTGTTTAAAACACAACAAATACAAATTCAGCTTAAAAAGTATAAAAATTGACAATGTTTCCTCAACCGGTGGAACATTCCGTGTCCATGCAACAATTTGACATATGTGTAGTGCACAAGACTTATTTTGATTTGGCGCTAAGTCACATCGACAACAAACATTTTATATTCTCTTGATTTATATTTTTCGAAAAGGTTTATGAATTATTGTTAGGCTAAAACATAATATGTTGGCATATCACATTGTAATATATCAACCAGAATGTTTTATTGTTGTACTGGAAATGCATTACATTGTCTTCTAATGTCAATTTTGCATTTATACAAACGGATGCTGTTGTACATGAGATTAAATCGCAAAAAGCTAACTCGATTAACGATTCAATAAAACACTGAGACATAACACGTGTGTGTTGTTCCCTCTAAGATTTGAGCGTTACTACAACATGTTCACAGCAAATAACAAAATATTTACAAATTGTTACAAAAGCTTTATGTTAGAGACAAATCTCTAAACAGGTTGGATAAAAAAAATTTACAAACGATTTTGTTTTATAAAATAGACAGTTTTGTGTTGGTTAATTATATTAGCATTTATGATCTTCCTACTGTTTCAGAAAGAGCAGAATTCTGCAATCAAAATTATTATAAATATCTGGTTTGTGCCAATTTCTTTTTTGTTTCTTGCATTGTCTGGATTTCTATACTTGTATTGTCGGTTAAACAGTAATTGGCTTCTTTTTTTTTTTAACATAAAACATTGAACAAAAAAAAAATATAATGTATATCATCAAATGTAAAATCGATCTATTTGATACAATAAAAGAAAATCAAATGAAATGAAATAACGCGTTCAATTAATTATATATCCAACCTGTTAAATTGAGAAGCAGGGTTAAATGAAAACATGGAATGAGAAGGTTACTCAACTTAATTAACACATTTTTAATTACAAATATGATTTATATTTGGTTTAAATGGATGTTAGAGCTGTATGTTTAATTAGGAACCGATAATTCTCTTACCGTAGTTTTAGATTAAGGTTTCCAAAAAAAATTTAAATCTAAGAAAATCCATTTTAAAACTGTTAGCAAATTAATACGAAATACAAATGTTATTGCAGACGTTTTAGCGCCAATTTCATCTTACGTTTTTCTCTATATCTTTAGAATGCATAAAGTTCATAACATTACGTTCAGCTAGAGACATCTCAACCCACTGTGTAAGAACTGCTACGAGTATAGCAGTGATGCCAGCTCCCTAATAAGGTAAAATATGGAAGAAGAGAGTTTAAATATATATAAGATAGTTTAAAATACAATACATAATTCGAACATACCCTCTTTGAATACTGTGTATCCATCATAAAATTATGGACATGTGTCTCAGCTCTGCTTAATTCAAGTTTTCTTGCTACAAGTGCTACAACTAATGCTGTACAACCGGAACCCTGATGCAAAATAATCAACATTATTAATGATATCAGATATAAATATTCAGACGAACAAAAAAGTATCCCTTTGCTCTCTCTTCCTTTGTGATGATCTGAAACTCATTAGGTGACGAATTTCATTATTTATTCCAATGTTCTTATTTAAAAAACGAGAGGAAAATGTTATCGCCAAAAGAATTTACTAAAAATTCAAATGCTGATAAATTGCCTGCTTTATTTAACTCAGACAATTATAGTGTTATTTTCAAAGCTGCAAAATTTTGTAAAATCATACTTTCTTTACTAAAATGATTGAAGTAACTGTATATCCATACATTTATTCAAATATGATGTTTATGTTTATATAATATGTCTGTTTTCCATATATTTGGAAATGCCTATCATGTATATTTGTTATATTGTTCATTTAATCAACCTATTTGGTTATATTGTGTTAATTTATGTTCAATTGTATTTGTTCACATACACTGGTTAAGGGTCTTGAGAAATAAAAACTTGAACTTGAAACATAACGTATTTTGTTTTCAAACTCATCTTTCTAATGTTGTGTTGGCGTTTAATTTTTCTAGAGGTTATTATATTGTTGACGATTTTGCAGTCTAAGAGCAAAAATGTCACAACGATAGCAAACGTCTTTTTTGTTTTCAATTGCCAATTAGTTTAGCTAGCTGTATTTCTGTATTGGATCCAATATAAGAATACAATACAAAATGTGAGACCTGAAGCAAACCAAGTTCCGTAACAATCTTATCTTATGTTCTCATTATTGATATAATCAAATGGGCTGGGATATTGGGACTAATTGAGTTGGTAATTTTGAAGGATAACTCGTAACTGGCTGCACGTTTAACAAATGAATACAAGATGAATTTGGCATTCACTTAATCAATTACTTTAACGATATCAACCATATTCTTATTGTAAAATAATGGAAAACAAGTCAATGGTTCAACCACAAAGTATACATGTGAAAACTCAAAATAAGAAAAACACACAACAAAGAAACATAGAAGACAATACAATATCGTTTAAAATTGTGTAATTAAAGTTAGATTTTTGAGGTTGTACCATTGAGTTATGATTTATTTTTGTATTTCCTGTAACCACTTCGCGGTTGACAAATGTGATAAATAAATGTAAGTATGTCATTATTTTTTTCATAAACAATTTGCATCTGATGTGAAGCAGTTATCTTTCAGAAAACCACTAAATGTTTTCTTTTTTCATGATGGGTCTATTCATCAAATTTAAACACAAAAAAATATGATTGTTTGCATAAAAAGCAAAATTTGCCAACATCAATAAAAAAAAATATTAGAAAATCCATAAATCAAATTAAGTCAATTATTCACTTTCAAAAGTATATGATAATCTTATTCAAAATAAATAAATTTAAAAGTTCATTTTAATCATAATCAAATGTACTAATATCTTTTAAAAGGTTTTGTATATTTAAAAGAGGAAGGCGTGCTTATGTGCCAAAACACATTAAATTGAAGTAATATGCACTTAGACAAAACAAATCGTCTGTGTAGCGCCATTTGTAGAATATGACAGCCCTAAATCTGCAACTACTGCTAATTTCATATTACCAACTTTTGACTCTGGATTTTATAATTTTTCGACAGGTTACCTACTCTGTGGTAGGACATCCTGGTACTCTGTCAAATAGGAGCAACCAAAAGAAGTAAAATCAAACATATAATCGGTGCAATTTGGGGAGAAAGTTTACTGTTTTCCAAAGATTTTGACGTGTATAAAAAACATAAAACAGTGAATTTCCCCCCTAAAGCTTGATTTTACTTCTTTATGTTGCTCTTACTTGACTGAGTACCAGGATGTCCTACCACAGAGAAGGTAACCTGTCGAAAAAATATAAACTCCGGAGTCAAAAGTCGGTAGTATGAAAATAGTCTATTTCATTATTGTTCACCAATCACATATTCATCTTTATTTTCCTATTTTTGTACACCGCTGGCCTTTCCTAGTAAATCATCAAACATTCTGCCCAACATTCCCACTATTTCTTAGTATTTTAAACATAATACATGTTCATCTGAAATACACATCGTACACGAGAAGAGATATTCAATGTCGAAATGTGCATCTGGTGCAGTAAAATGTGTACCGTTTATGTTATTACAAAATATTCTACTTTATTTTCAGAAACTTCAAGAAACATTCGTTTTCTTCGTTACATTTAAGATGAAAAATGCAGACAGCTTTCCCCGTGAAGATTTCTAGTTTTTAAAATGCTTGCATATCAAACACAAGCACACATGTCTTTGATATTTTTCATAAATTTGATGTCTTTGGTATCCTCTATGCATTTACGAAAATGTTTTATTTGTGATTTCAGCAGCATATATGGTTAAAGAAAAACCTTTTCGAATGCAAATGACCGTAATAAATCAGCACAACAGCCTTCAATATAGCCGAAAGAAAAAGCCAGAGTTGGTACAAACGTAATGAGCACTGTCCTGTGTCCTTAATTTAATGGATATTTCACATAATTATTGATCTAGCTATAAGAATCAACATAGAAATTGGGAACCGCGGTCACTTCTAAACATAAATGATCAATATGGCAAAACATTGTTTCTAAGTCTTTCGAATTGATGTTTAAGGAGATAGACCTAGGTTTAAGAACGAAAGTCTTAAGAAAGATTAACCAGAACGATTGTCTCAACCTTTCCATAAATTCAATTTTACGCTACTATGTAACACAGATCATTTTAATTCTGTTTCATATGAATGCTTAAAATGCATTAATACCACTGCCGTTTAAACACGTATTACTGACTTAAACAGTTATCTTCCTTAACGTAGGTCTATCCCCTTAATAATACACAGACGAAGTATAACGGCAAGTGTATAAAAACAATATTGAAATCAACTCTTCAGTCGTAAATCTTGTAGTCAGCGACAAAAAGCTGCTACCTAGAAATATGTCAAAATATGAATTAGATCTTCTTAAATCGCTGTACTTTAATCTCAAGTTTACTGAAACATTCTTATTGGAATTATATTGCGCTGAAAACATAACATCATCCAAATGTATGACAAGTTTGAGAACTAGGCTGAATTTATTTTAATAGATTTGTATTCATCCTTAATACACATTTGGTCTCTGGAGAAGAGTTGTATCATTGGCAATCATACCACATCTTCTTCTTTTTTGTATATTACTTTTCTTGTAGGAATGGCTCTTAAACATTGTAGTTACTTGAACGTATTTTATCCATTTATCTATTTTCATTGAAATCGTATACGTTTTCGTTATGAATTAATCATAGTTGGTAGGTTTCAGAAAAAGTTGACAATGTTGACCACAAATCATATTAGACAAAGACATTAACAAAAAGTCAGGATGAGGAAATATGTATGATAACTTATCGATTTAACGGTTATAAAGTTCGGTTGAGAGTTTCACAATCATGCCAGAAAATATGTGGCGTATATGACCTTTTTGCACTTACTTGTGTTTCCTACTATACTCATGTGTTTACGTATTAAAGAACTACTATGGTACTGACGCTTTACTAAACTAACAATATAAAACTACAATGATTTAGAAATTATGACTTCTAATTTACATTTAAACTTCTGTTTTGCGTGTTTATGGTTCTTTTTTCAGGAAGTGATTTTCATTTCGTTAAAAGGTTTACAGTTTGAAGTACACCTACCATAACTCCCGTTGCTATGGCGATTCCACGACCACAATATGTATTTGGAACTAAGTCACCATACCCAACTGATAAAAACGTAATGGCAATCATCCACATGGAATTTAAAATGTTGGAGTGCCTAGAGTCTAGATATCTGAAAGAAAATATCAATAAAGCGTTATATTATCCTACAAAATGGGCTAATTTAATAACATGCAAGAATTCCCTTTCTTATCACAAAATCACCATAAATGATGGATCAAAGCTTAAGAGAAACATACGATCGTGATAGTTGTCATGCTAAAGTAAAATAAGACCTAATTATTGTCCGGTATAAATACTTAAGTGCTTTATATGCGGAAGCAAGATTCAAACATGTGTTCTCAACTCTAGTTCGTATTTATTAAACTCCAAGGAACCAGTATTGATCGTATGCCATCTATGCATAATAGTAACTTAATCTGAGTACCATTTATGCAATTCTTGCTTCTTTAGTAACAGGTTACATTGCTGAAGCCCGCCTCCGGGTGCGGGATTTTCTCGCTGTGTTGAAGACCCATTGGTGGCCGTCGGCTGTTTTCTGCTGTTTGGTCGGGTTGTTGTCTCTTTGACATATTTCCCATATTTTTTAATTTTATTGAGTAAACTTTTCAAACTGTCTGTCTTTGAATGAAGCAGACTAAGCTTGTATTCAAACAGGCCTACATGTAATTATTTGAAAGAAGAAGATATTTTCATTTACTTTTCCTTGACGTATTTTGTATAACTATGATCCGAAAACTAGTATATAATATGTACTAAACGCAGAGCAGGGATATTGTGTAAATTTGATGAAAGTCGATAATTTTAACAAAATTCTAGCTACAAACGGTGACCCTAAGTCATTTGGTCTCTGGTGGAGAGTTGTCTCATGGGCAATTATACCACATCTTCGTATTTTGATATTAACTCTTATTTAACCATTCCAATGTTTCTGACAAGTTATAGCTGCATCTTTAATGATATAAATATTGCCTTTGAGATTCTTTTCATAATTGTTATGAAACGGTCTGATTTGAGATAATATCATTAAACAAAACAATTATGAGAGATGGCAATCAACGACAACCGCTGGAATACTTAACATTCCACATCATAATGAATCTGAGCACTAAGTTTCATGTTAATGTGACCACAATTTCGCAGTTAACTACCTTAACCAAAAACTTTAACCTAGAACGCTCTATCATATTCCCATGTTTAGTGAACCGTAAAATCGGAATCAAAACCCTAATTTGGCATATTTTAAAAGTATCACATCATAAGGACCATATGTACTAGTTTTCAAGTTGATATGACCACAACTTAATTGTAAATTGCCAAATGTACAAGCGGCCGTAAACATAATGCCTACCCCTTATGTCGTAGGCGGATCCTTAAAATCAGTTTAAATCATCAGATCTGTACAAAAACAACACAAAAAAAATGGAAGGAAAAAAAAGATACCGATCACTAGTACTCACAGTTATTGAAAACTAGTTCAATGCCTAATTTTAACTAGCAAACAAATCATGGTTTCTAATATTAAAATATCAATCAATACACCTTCTACGGATGTAGTTTAAAGACGTAAAATATATTGGTTCTAATGTCAAAATATTTCCAGTCACCTAGACTCTCAGATGAACATGTCGAAAGACCTGCGACGAAGTAAGAATCACTTTGACATAGACTATTTCATCATAGTTGGATTTCAATAAGCCAAGTGGTTTCAGGATGAAGACGAAAATGTGAAAGCTTACAGACGTCGTCGACAACAAAGACCAAAGGTCAATATGTGTCGGCAAAAGCAGCACACAGACTCTTTGCCGGTCAGGTAAGCTAAAATCGTAAGTCATGAATGCAGCACATATGTTTACATACGTACATCGGTACTGACATGATTTATAACAAACCTTTCTAAAATTGTACGTTTATAAATATAGCTCTTCAACTTTTTCGGTTTTTATACATCCTCGGCTTTCAAATATTCGGCTTTTAGCGTTCCTGATGAAGGTAAATCCAGAAAAGCGCTTCGGACGCATGAAATTAATAACGTGTTGTTTTCATTTTTTACAGAAAGAAAGTAATTAACCATCCTCCAATTCCATTTCATTTCAACAACACTGTTTTACAGTTTTCGTGTGACAGATATGTCTACACGTACATATTGGAATACCCTTGCGAAAAGGTAACAATGACTAAAAAGATAGAAACGTACTAAAACGATCAATGCATACTAGTAAAACACAGGTTACCAAGCAACAGCCAGTATTATTCACGTAATTGACCATAATTTCATGTAAAAAAGTCACTTGTTGCAAGAATTTAATTAAAGTAATTCATTTGATTTGATTAAAGTAATTCATTTTTCAAAATTACTATTACGGTGATATTTCACGCCAAGTCTGGCATCAGAGACTGTTATGGGGTTTTTTAAAACTTATTTGCATATTGAAGAAATAAAATTGAATAATAACGGCTTATAATTTGATTTCCTTGGGTAATTCATATTAAAACTGACACGAGCAGTCAACATCAAGAATGTATTGGTAGTTAAGCTTTTTTCTCATTCATCATTTTCTGGATCAATTTCGACGATGATATATTGAAAGAGGTTTTAGTGGTTACCGCAAAATTATAGCAGATTATCGGAATACTTAAAGATTTATCAAATTTCCGGAAAATTAATCGACTATTGCTAATATATCCCATGATTTAATCAGTATGTACTTCAATACAATGGGCTAAGTTTTAAGTTGGACAATAATTTTATATTTATGACATTCATTCACAATGAAGGTAATATTTCTGTACTAAGTAAAATTTCCGTTACTAATTATACAGTACTAATGGTTTGCCTTACAGAAATCAGACAAATATTTTGTTGAGCTGCATTAGACTAAAAAGGAGACATTTTCTCAATGTACTATTAGCTAAAAGCTTTGTGCTGTGTAGACACTTGAAACTTTGTTAATGGGAATAATTTTTCAAAGTAATAATTATTCATTTGGCTTTACACAATGAAATTCTGATTTAATTCCATAAATAGTGCTACTAATGTTGTTTGGATTTTTCAATTGATTTTTGTATGTTCAAAAGGGTCATGAAAAATAATCTCAAGCGAAATGTTATCAAAAACGCTGAAATGCGTATATGGAAAATTGAAAAAGACGACCTTACTTCACATAAAATACAAAACACACCAAACGTTTACAATTATGTTATAATTGCTCATTACCATCGGAAGATCACATGATGATATATCGTCCCGAAGATATATAATTTGCATCATGACCGTTTAAGCGATCACATGTTGTACATTTGACTTTCAGTGGGTTTAAACCATTTTGATAAGATGGTATCAGATGCTTTCTTTATTATTTATTTACCAAAGTACCACCCCTAGCCCTACCCACATATATAAACGTGAACTGATTTCCTTTCGAACAAAAGGTATCTCAAAACTCATATAGACTCGGGTCAGTTAAGAGTGTGTTCATCCGGCGGGGGTGTATTTTTTATCAAGAGGTTGTTATTTGGTGGTCAAACAAACAGAAACAAATAACAACCACAGGAATACAGGTACAGAGTACCTCGCTATTAGACAGGCATATATAGAATATGGCATGGTTAAACATGTTTGTAAGCGTAAGTGTAAACTCTCTACCTAACCTGGGAAAATTATAAAACTGAACAACAATCATGACAATAGAACATATTAAAAATCAGTTCAAAAGAGGGTATACTCATGCTGGTCATTGTATTGTCTGGTTTTTTTTTCCAGCTTATGAATTTTGAATAGCCCCCTTGGGATCTTCTTCAATTTTTGCAAATCAAGTGAAGAAAACAAGATCAGTCAAACAATAGCATTGACTATGGTTTGATTATATTGTTCACTGTGGGGAATTGATTCATAATGAATTCTTATACAATAACTTGTTTAATTCCAAAGTATGATATCCTCATGGGAAATAGTTCCTAACCTTTACATGTCATGGGAAAATTGGTATGGTTTATTAATACACTTTAGCCATGAGTTTGAATATCACTTTGGTATCTTTTGCCTCTCTTTTAGACATTTTGTAATTTGTAATACAATTTTTTATAACCAACCTTACGTTACAGGTCTAAATTACGTAATGGAATTATAAGAGATTAATTTTACTGAAAACCCTTATTAAAATTTGTCTCAACAAGTATTTAATTAAAACAAAAGTTTTTTTCAAGAGATAATTCTTAGACTAACGTAAATTACATTCTAATGTTTCCGTTATAATCCACATTTCGACGTTTAACAATAATGATTTGTAATCGCCATGACATAATAACTAGAAACAGCTGTTTTAGATTTGTCTAAATGAAAATACAATGTTAAGACATTTGGAGCAATATGATGTTCGCCAATAATTCAGCATGTGTTATGTAAACAGCAGATTATAACATACGACTTGTTGAAAGAGATGTGATTGAACAATCGCTATTATGTTATATGCAAGAACATTATGATTGAAATCCTGGCATGCCACCTGATATTCTAATTATAAAGTCTTCTTGACATATGAAAGAATTTAGTGTGTAAAAGTTGACCATTATAATTCCTTATATGAATAACTTGACCTTCTTCCTGTAAAAGTTACACGCGATGTGGTTTTATTTGGTTTCATTTTGTGATTTGTCTTACGGACCAAGGAATGCCTTAAAACGTCTAAGCTCAAACTTGACCATTATAAAGACAAAATGCAGTTTAAATATAGATGAAAATCAACGACATTCGATAGATGAACCTTAAAGGACTTGCTTTATGTTTAGGTTATTGCACGACTTTTGTCTCGAGTAGAATATTATGTTTGTGTGTGTAAAGGTTGAACACATGAATCCTCTCTTACTTCATCAGCACGTGATACACGTTTATCTTTTACAATTAACCAGCTTGGTGTTTACCCATATGTTTATAAACCTAAATCTAACCTCTTTGGCATTAAGCTGCAAGTAGTCATACAAAATAGACATATCAAAGACGGTGTGTTTAATAATGTTAAGAGGTTAGCAAAATATTGATAACTGTATGTACCGAAAGTCAATACAAATCATAATTACCAGAATACACCCGCGGTGACTAAATTTAATTAGTTTGGCTATTTTAGCCAGGTTTTTAGTATTCGCATTGTCATCTGACAAATGAAAATAACACATGGAAAAGTCACACAGCGAATTAGGTGGACCATTTTCTCTGCTTGCAATTACTTTTTGTCTGAATCCGTCCTTGTTTTCTTATTTGGTACTATCGGACTGTTACCGTGATCAGTACAGATATATACGAAGTTGCGAAAATCCTCTATTACATTCAAATGCATTTACCAAATATATTTTGTGAGAAAAAAACAAATTATGTATTTCAAGTTTCGATTAAAAAGCAATAAACTATCGAAAGAGTTTGTTAGTTGTTGTCTTGTATTCTTTAATGTTCGGAAATGATTGTATTCATACGGTTTTCATATATACATATATGTGTATACTTGTGGGCATCCGACAAGTAAGAAATTTTATAAAATCTGTTGGACAAATTATGATATATCGCCAATGATAAGATCAAATACATGTATTTGTAAATATATAATGAGTGTGAGAGTTCCAGACAAAGAGCGTTACACATGCTTCTCTTTGATTAACTATATGGTGTAAACCATATCACTTAACACTACAATAAATATTGCAAATATTATTAAATTTTTCTATGGTCGAAATAACAAGCTAAACACTTTATTACCGAAGCAGTTTAACCAAATTACTTGTGTCTATCAATATTGTTTAAATCATACGAGTTGCATTCATATAGAAATAATAACTTGCTCAATAACACGATTTCGTTAATAAAGCAATCATGGACGATATTCAGAGTATGTTTTATCCGTGAAATTCCAATTATTGGGAAATGTTTATGTGAACAAAGCAGAAACGAGTTTTGCTGCATTAATGTTCAGTGAATTTGACAATTAATTAGTCATGTGTGTACGGACAATCCTGTATTATGTATAGCGTCTGTAAATAGCAGACTACTAAATAAAATACGTACTTCATGTACTATAATAATCTTTGGGCATTTAGTGCAATATACGGAACAGGATATGATTACCCTTCCAGGGCACCATAGTTTAATTCTGAACGCCGTCTATTTCCGTTTTGAACACTGACGGCCAAAATTGAACAACCATTTTATTATGTGAAAGAATGATAGTTCTTCAGAAAAACATTCTTTTGATTAATCGCAGAATTATATGGATTAAAATGTTATAAATTGAGTATTCCATTGAAAAGCATGATAAAGAATTTGTTTCTCCCAGCCAAGTTTACAAGACCCGTGCCTATTCAGAAAATAATTCATCGGTCATAGTCATATGTTATTAGATAAATGAGTTCATTGATATCAATACTTACGCCTCACATGCACGTAGTAACCAACTCGCAATCACCCACATAGATATCATAAACACTAACATCACAGTTCCAGGACAGATTGTCATTAAAGTTTTTAGCACAAATTTAGTGTCAAAACTTATTCGATTTAATGCACCTATACTTCTAGACGAAGCGTCTGTAAAGAGTCTGCTATGTAATAACATAGATCGGGCAATGAGGTACAACCGCAAAAACATAGGTATGGATAATAAAATATCAACAGGAACCTCCGCAATCAACCACCTCTCTCCGTCGTAACTCTCAGTCTTCCAAGTAAAATAAAAAGGACCTGGTATGGGATTAACAGCACAAATGATTATTTCTAGTATTAATTGAAGCATTCGTTTCCATGATATGGCGATTCTCCAGTCTTCAACACAATTGTCTACTGCAAAAAGCTGAAAATAGAACAAAAGCGTTTTGAAAGAAATATAAGAACATTGAATGTAAGAGATTAATTGGGTTGAAAAAAGTAAAGGGATACAGATTGGTATTCTAAAACCATAACTGTCAGAAAGACAGAAAATGTAATGGCCAAAAGCAATCTCCGGCACATAGTTCATATCCGTTCCGTACATGCTTCGCAATACTTCACTTATTATGACATATTGGGTGTAGTGTTACGCAGTATAGAATGGAACGAATATGATCTTTGCGTCGGAGATTGGGCCAAAAATTAAAAAAAACACAAACAACAGACAACAGACACAAATTAAAACAATACACAAACAACTAAAAACTGAAAAAAACGCGAACTCCGCAAAATATACAGTTGTGAATTCGAGTGTTCCGAAAGTAGCAGCAGTTCCTGCTCCATTACGGACACCTGTCGTGTTACTCTTGTTTAAATTCGTTGATGAGTCATAACTGGAAGTTATTTGTCATTAAATAAGGGCAGTTGCATATTCTTTTCTTTGGAAATGAACATCAAAACACAACTATAAGCAGACGGGAGTTTGTTAGATTAATATAATTATGTCTGTTAGCACGATTCAACATACTATTTTCCTGGTTAAATGGGGTTTAATAACCCTTTGTAAGTAACATAAAGCTTAATAACATTGCGAAATTCAAACGTATTTTTAACAAAGTTTAACAGAAAGAAAACAGTTTGAATGCCATTGGAATTTTTCTATTGAATCCATCTAGTCGAAAAAAGTAAGGAATATTCTGTCTAGTTCCTGTGGATGAAGGTTCGGAGAGAAACAGTTGTCATTTTCATTTTTTGTTTAAGAAACCAGTTAACATGAAAATTTGTTATGCGTCTATGATCAACCTTTTTATATCAAATTATAAATGAAGAAAAAACTAAATGAACATGTTTAAGAAAGAGGTTGCTTCATGTAGGTATCGACTACATTCATGTATACAAGGAAATTATAAATATTTGCATCGCAGTACGCCCGAATGCTTACTACATTATTTATCTTTTATATCAACATCTGTTGGAATATATCCATCGTAACTAGCAACATGTATAAGAGTTATATTGTCTGTTAGAAGTACTTGTTGACAATTAATTAAACAATGTAATTCGCATGCAACATTGCATAGACAATAGACAGGAACTTCCAAGGACGCGAGATTACAAAAATTATGAGTACATGGTAAATTCAAGAGGTAAACACCATAAACTTCAAATTTGTATAGGAAATTACAGTTGGGAAATTGTGGGATATTTAGCAACATATGGCCCTATCAATAAATTACAAAAATCGAGATCCAGTTCCTTTCAAAGTTTTAAAGCGATTCTACCCAAAACATCATTTATCGGTATCAATATATCAAACCTATTTCAAAATTTATTTTTTTCAAATATAACCAAATCATAAATTAAGATAAACAGAGATATAATCCAAATCGTACCACAGACAGATAGACGAGGTGAAGGATTTTAAATATAATGTCCGTGTTTAAGCATTCATTTGCTTTAATATAATCAGTATTTCTGAATCGTTATTTTTAGAAACATGATTGGAGGGAAGCAGTTTTCAGTTCGTGATGTATAATCTTTCAATTAAACTTCAGCCCGGAACCTTCTTTTTCCCCAAACGAAAAAAATAAACATATTTCAATCAATACAAGAAACACACGCATATTTTCAAGGATGAAATCATAAGAATACAATGACACTTGCATGTGCATAAAACTGTATGTATTGCATACGAAATCTATCCAAGAAAGATTTAATGAACCAACGGAAATCGGAAATTGAAGAAAATAACAAGATTATGTCCAATAAGACAAAAAGTAGACAGCATAAAAATATGAGGACAAAATGAGGAAAAAAGACAAATAGAATACAACTTTCCCTAATTAAGAATGAAGAAAAAAGTAACAACATTCCACAAAAATATTACCCAGAAAATGGTAACAAATCAAATGATGTGATTTTAGCGGAGGATAAATCTTCTACTTGCATTTTAGAATTGCACTAAAATATGATGATTGTGATCAGTTTCTTATTTTGAATTTTTCATTTACTAATTGTGTTTTCTATGGTAAATGCGTCAGTTTAGATAATAGCAAACATAGTCTAATACTACAAGTCAGAAGCCTGATGTACAGTGGTTGTCGTTGGTTCATATCTGTCATATTTGCTTTTCGTAAATTGTTTTGTTTAAAGTTAGGCCGTTATTTTTTTTTTCGTATGAATTGTTTCTCATTTTTCATATGCCGTATGGTGACCTATAATTGCTTACTACCAGTTTATTTTAACTCTGATTGATAGTTGTCCCATTGGCAATCATACCACATCTCATCTTATATACAGTGTACAAATCTGAGTTACTTTACTCAACCTTCGTGACATTGCATATTCCACTTTCATGATTAACACTTCTAAGTCATACAAACATATAACACTACAACGCTAGTGACGCTTAGTTACATGTACTTCTGGACATTCCAAATTAAATTTCATGTCATTTATCTTTCATTGACTTGTATTGGGTTTTTAAGTAGACCTTTTAATCTTGATTTTGTCGAGCCTGCGACTTTTGTCGAAAAAGCGAGACATAGCGATCCTTCATTCCGTCGTCGTCGTTTTAAAAATTTTAATAACTTTCTTAAACTATCCTGGATTTGTACCAAACTTGGGTAGAAGCTTGTTTATGATCAAAAGCTAGTATCCAGAAGGAAATTTTGTAAAAATTTATTTCCTGTTTTTCCGTATATTACTTATAAATGGACTTAGTTTTCCTTCCAGGTAACATTACATGCAGTTAAAGTTTTTAAAACATTCATTAGATTCATAAACCATCCTGGATTTTTACCAAACTTATTTAAAAATTATCTTCTTTATCATTTGTTCATTCAATAAATTTATGTTTCAACTCTTTTATAAATCTATAGATTTGATTGCATACTGTATTCATTTTTTACAAGCATAATTTTTTTCATACATTTCAAACGTTTTATTTCATTAACTGTAAATATATTAAGTGCATTCCCCTATCACAATGAAAACATAGACAGCAAAAGTAGGCAAGAAACTAAGTTCCGCGGAACCCTTACAAATTTTATACTTATTTCTTGTTTTTACGCCTTAAAACACTTCGAAACAAGTATTTGTACATTTGATTCAAAAAGCAATTTATTATTCACCCATTACACTAAATTATTCCATTGTTTTGGTTTTTTTTTAAATAAACTGACTAATGATACTAAGTTAATACATAACCGATTGACTATTAGATCTAGAACATGCAGACCTTGAAAATAACAGTAATTATGTCCTTTACTGAATTAATGACGACGATATCAGAGGACATTTATTATTTATCAGACAGTATCGTTCAAGCTATAATGAGAAATGTTTCAAAAATAATCAAACTTTAAATAGAATTACAATGTTTACATAATCGATTGCAGCCTCTCTATCTTAATGTTCAATAATTTCCATCAAAACATAATCAAAACCAGATCAGCTTAAAAGGCATTATTTTATTTGTTTAATTTTTCATTTATATCAGTCACGGCATGGGTTTTCGGAGTTCTATAGCACTGTTGTGTACATTGTTATTCTTGCAACTGGTAAGCAAAGAGTCGGTTCTTTTGAGGTATGAGGGTCTGAATGGTTGGTGTTTACAGAATAGAGGAAAATGGCCCAAAATTGAAAAAAATAATGAATAGAGAAAATTAAGCAAAAAATATCAAGAATAGAGAATATTGGGGTACAAAAGTATAAAGGGTAACTGAGGAAAATAAAAGATTAAGGTTATACAATACTGATAACAGAAATGAACGATGTACAGAATTAAGAAATCACCAAATTACATGAAAATTTAATAGAACAATCATTTTCAGGTGAATTTTATTTGAGAATAAGCGTTATTTTTAAAGATAAAGAAAAATGCACTCAGAATTTATAGAATACAGAAATTAAGCACCCTCCAATCCAGACCCTCTTGTTTTATGAAATCCAACAAAACAGGTTTCTATGAAAAGGATATCCTCCTGAGATTTATATTATTGCATTTTATTTATGAGCACTTCCCAGAATTATTTTCTATTACGCCACAGTTGGTGCGTACGTAAACATATTATTTATTTGAAAAAAAGGTTAACAGGGACGTAATATCAAGGATTGTATTGTATAAATCTATTTGAGGATCACATAAAGGTTGCACTAATGTCATTAATTAATTTAATTTATCAAATAAATAAATACAACCACTCCTTTATTGCATTAAAACTTTCAGTACTTCCGAGTATAACGCATAGAAATGTAGTCTATATTTCAACAGTTAAACAAATAATGTTTAGTATGGCCTGCATGGTTAAGGACATCAAAAATCAAAGTACTGTCATACTGTTAACTTTTGTGATACATTCTAATAATGAACTCACTGTTGAAGGCCGTACGGTGACCTATAGTTGTTGATTTCTGTGTCATTTGGTCTCATGTAGAGAGTTGTCTCATTGGCAATCATACCACATCTTCTTAATTTTATATAAACCTAGTTACATCTCAAACAGATGAAATCAAAGGAAACGAACATTTCTTTCATATTGCCTTTTTTTCTATGGCTGCACGTTCAGCAAACATACGAATTTCTATTAGTTTTTTATTCGTTTCTTGTTTTATTCAATGCAATCATTCGAATTTTTATTTGTTTATTTAACACTTGAAATGGATCTTTCATTGCTATACGTCATGTTACTGTCATTTGCAAAAATGTGCAGTAAACAAAATTTATTCAAATTTTATCTCAAAATTGAGAATGGAAATGGGGAATGTGTCAAAGAGACAACAACTCGACCATAGAGCAGACAACAGCCGAAGGCCACCAATGGGGCTTCAATGCAGCGAGAAACTCCCGCAACCGGAGGCGTCCTTCAGCTGGCCCCTAAACAAATATGTATACTAGTTCAGTGATAATGGACGTCATACTAA